GGTCAAACAAAGATCACACTTCCAAAATAGTAACACACTTTACTCACATATGGCAAAACATTTGATTGGGTAGGAGTCTGAAAAACAGGATAGTTTGAGAACATACTCTATCACTGTAATATTTATAGTACCATGATTTGAAATTGGTGAAATGATCTCCCTGTGCTGCATTACTACTGTCAGATAGAGCCTGTAAAATGGGTTTCATTTGACCACAAGATCCAAAATAAACTGAAAAAACTCTAAAAAAATAAAGATTTTGATTTAAAAAAAAAATATCAAAGGATGTTTCTATTGAACTGGGTAGCACCGAGCTCCATATGTAGGCCATAATGAAAGAGGGATGGAGTATAAATGAAAAGCAGGTTAGCGCAGAATTCATGTTAAGAAGGGCAAATGTCTTAAAAGGAGGAGATATGTTACTTATAACTACACATAAACTACCATTTATTAATCAGTTAAAGGCACATCAAGTGTGGGAAAAACAACAGCTGGCTTCTTTAATAGTGCCTTCATTTAAAACTTGCTGAACTGGAGCGCTTTCCTCTCTTCTGTCAGAGACGAGAGGAATTGTTTTGATAATACATCAAAAAACTAAAAACCTGTTTCTCAAAAAACTTCACCAAACTTTTCATTCTTGACCAAGGTTCTAAAGTTCCTTCACCAAACACACTTTTTAACCACATTTTTAACACTTTTATCATTTAAAGTTATGCGCTTAAATAATTATTGAATGGTTCTACAGTTTCAATGTTAATGCCATGCTTTTAAAAATATTTCAAATTGAGAGCCTACCGATTCAAATTCCCAGCCACGGCTGGCCTCAGCTGCTGTGTCAGGTGTCTCTGTGCACAAAGAAATGCCCATGTGATCTCTGTGCCCCTCATTATAGTGGGTGCCTGCCTGACACCTACTCCTCGTCCTCTACCTGTGTGACTTTGCCTTCTTCCACCCTTAGCTGGGTAATTACCTTGCCCAAATGCCATTAATTGTGGCCCCTAATAAAAAGCGATACTTGATCAAAAAAGGTCAACCTGTATTTATTTTAGCATTGACTAATGAAATTGATCTTTTTTCATCATTTTTCCATTAGGTTTACCCAAAACTCATGAGGATGCAACCTATGTATGTATGACGTATGTTCAAACCTTCGGTTGTACAGTTCTCTAAGGACCTGTTTACAGAAAACAGGGGCATAATCGAGATATCTGTTATCAGTGCTGACTGACAGCAGGGCTATTCAACTTCTGTAGCAACAGGTAGAAAAACTACTGAGGGTCCATACAATAATGTATACAGTATAACTTTAATAGCTATTTTATTAGGTGGCATCAAGTAGTCACGCGCATTCCTTTTCCTTTGTTGTATCGTTTTAAGTGATTCTAGACAGCAGCCAATCCATATAAAAAAGTAGGACAGTCTTCATTATGATGCACAAAAAGCTATATGTAAAAGGAAAAAAAACAGGACAAGAATAAGTTGCTGGCAGGCACAACAAATGTAGCTGGTTGGATACTGCATAACTGTATACATCAGACTAACGTTAAGCTTACATTAATTCGGGGCCTGTTCATAATAAGAAAAACGCATCTAATTATATACATTAAGTCTTTAAACCAGGTCTATAAGTGTAAAATGCTCACAGTAAGACAACACAGTTATCAAAGTAATTATAAACTGGCATGTCCATGGCAGAATCACAACCTATTCCAAGCAGTCACAAGTGGCTTGCAGCAGGTTCATATCCATATTTGTTTAAGGTGAAGTCACTAAAACAGTATCCAGACTAGCAGGTCTGTTTGCACTATCACAACAATAGAAAAATAGATGACAGTCTTTGTAGTGTCACTAATACAGCATTACATGCTTTAGTAACATTGTAGACTAACCATACATACAAAAAAATGGGTAATTTAAAGTTGTTTCAGCCAATGAGAAAAGCTGGGCTACCATTTCTTTGCTTGCAGCATTATGCAACCACCCCTGCACCAATTCTAAACTGGAGGGGGGGGGGGGGGGGAGAGAGAGAGAAGGGGGTGGGAATAAAGGGGAGAGGGGACATGAGCAAATGAGAACCTAATGATTTTGGGGCAGTTCTTTAGAGGTGGAGTGAATAGGGCATAGGTGGGTTCGGTTTGACGGAAGACGTGTCCCTCTAACTCGGCAGGGAACAGCATGCTCTCGTTGGGGATTGATAGCATTTTCATAATGGAAAGGGACGCTTTGTGCAGTGGGGTGCAGTGGACTTTTTAGCTTTACAGACCAACACTGTAAAGCCAAAAGTCAAAAGTCCACTGCACCCTCACTGGAAATGCTGTTTGTAGCAAAGATAGAGTGCATTTGACCAATTCAATGTGAAAGCTGCACTCATCAATACATTGCTTTTACACAGATGTTTGCCTTCTTTGCTTGCAACCTATTTGATGGAAAATAGGTAACAAGAACACAGCGCTAACCTCAGTAAGAACATCCTGTGAACATGTCTGTTATGATGGGCGTCCTATCCGACCAAGATTCTGTCCTCTTGCCACACAGAGGTGTGGCACACAGAGGTGTGGCAAGAGCAGACGTTTTGCTTTTAGTTGATAAGTAACATACCTGATTTGACTTTCTGTGTCCTGCACTTTAAGTTTCACAGTTTCCCTTCTGTCATTAACAGGCTGATCCAACACGCACTGCATAGATTTGATTGTTCATTATTTGTCTTTCCTCAGGCTGGAAAAGATGCATTTTCCAGGAGGAGGTCACATAAAAAGTCAAGAATTATTTCAGGTTTTTTCAGGTATGGATGAGGTATTTACTAGATTAATGATGTTATAGACTCAAGATTAAATGAATGAATGATTAAATTAGTGATCTTTGCGCACAGCATAATGTCAAACCTGCGATTAGTGAGCCTCGGCATCTGATCTTTCACTCCAATGATCCTAGCTACAGTCACCATCAGTAACTAAGAGAACACTGTTCTGTGAATGCAGACTTAGTAAATAACAATATTTAGTTATAGAAGACCTAAAAGTACTAGGTTAGTGAAAAACAGTCATCCAGTCCAAAAGTGTTCTATAGCTGCATTAGTGTGAAAGACAACTCAGATTATTTAAAACCTTTAAACATGCTAGATCAACCTTTAACCTTGTTCCCTATTAATTATCTCGCATTAAGTTTCTTCTTATAGATTTATCACCTCGTGTGTAGCTTGGGACCTGAGACTTGCTTGTTTATAATTCCACTTAAAAGTAAAAGGCATGCCCTTGTATGCAAAACCTGTGAAAATAAAAAATAGTGATGGACATAGTTGTGGTCACCTGTGCCACTTTTCATATGCACACAGGGCTTTGGAACCACACCGGAATCGCCCCTGGACCGGAGATGCAAAGTCCTATTCATAGTCTCCAGGTGATCAGCAGAGGAACAAGTCAACCACTTCATCATAAGATGTTTTATTTGGAGTACTCCAGTCAACATAAAGTGTTAACAAAGCACAAGTATTAGTAATTAGGCCTGTTCACTGCCAGTGACATACTTCTGTGTGGATTATGCATCGATAGCTGAACTTTTTTTTCTCCTGGGAGATTAAATGGGAGTTTACATCTCCTAGGAGATTACATAAACTACGACTTTGCTAAATCTCACAAAAAAGTTAATTTAATTATACTTCGTTTATTATTGCTTGGTGACGCTGTCTTTATTACTTTTGGTCCCATCAATCAAAATAACCCATATCTTCCAGCAGTCTTGCTTCTACATCAGGAACAGTGAGATTATGGAGCAAGCCTTTGACTTGCAGTCGTATTATAGTGAGGAAAAAACAGGGTGGTCTTACCTTGTGTAGCTGCAAGCCAGTCCTTATCTTCACTTCGCAGGCCGGTTGCATTGCGCCGCTCACTTCAACTCAGCACCGCTGCGAAGTGAAGAGAAGGGTCGCTCAAACAGATGTGAAAATTCAGGCAGACATGGGATGGCACTGACACGAGATTATATCTCTTATCCACCAGACCAAAAAAAGAGGCCCGAACCTGGACTGACGCAATCTAGGTGAAACTCTCTTAACCCCGAAATAACTTTCATGGGTCAACGAGGATACCGGTCTGTTTTTGGACAGTTATATTTCTGTCCGTGTCTGAGCTTTGTGTGTGGGGGAACATAGATCTTTACCAATAAAAGAAAAATCCGGTTAAAATGTAATCCGAACATTTCGTTTACTCATCTGAGGAATAAGTAAGTTGAAACGTGTTTGCAGTTAAAGAAAAAGCTGCTCGTACCTTTGATTTCCCCCTGCCGTCGACTTGCTTCTGTCCCGCTTTGAACTAGTTTGTTTTGACGCGTAATTTGGGGTTTTCTCGCTCAGAGCTTCTGCGCCCATGAAAGACGTGCGCGTCACCATTGAGGGACTTCTCGGCACAGAGAGACTGCTGGGGGACGTTTTTCTCCGGGGATGATCGTGCCATAACTTTGCCTCTATGCGCGGGACCCTCTAAGTTGCATCTCACATCTCAGCCTCAGCATCGCTCTCTGTGCCGAGGAGCTGCAGAGGGCAAAGCCTTCGCGGAGGAGAACCACGTGACTGTAGCACCAATGAGCCCCAATCTGAAAGCTCGGAGACTAGGAAGGAAAAAAAAAATCCCCTCTGCGGTCAGAACCTTAGAGCGAGGCAGACTTTACTCACATTACACGGTCTAGTATGTGAATAGGAGACCATGTGCTATAGAAAGCAGGATAGGCGGGAACTATATCTAAAAATAGGCCATCTGCAAGCAATATTACAAAATCAGTGCAAGTTCTTACAGAGAGGAGAGCACCCAGATGATACCTGTTCCCACCTGCACCTACTCTCAAAACGACTGGGGCTTTATAGCAGCTCCGTTTAATGATTGCAAACACTGAAACCAGTTTGTTCTCACCTCTGCAGCAAATATCATCCAGCTTCCAAGAAAATGGCTCAACCATGTAAGACTGAGCAAAGGAGAAAACAATGAATACTTAACACACATTAGGCAATCTCAAAGTCAAGTTAAAGTTTATTAGGGGTTGTTACTCTGTGTACGACAGCCTTGAAATCAAAAAGACACAGGAACAGAGAGCGTTGATATAACAAAGCACGGAGCTGGTTTTGGAAACGATATCAAAGTAACAGTATTACTTTCAGATCAGTGTTTACCATTCAATTTAAAGAACAAGCATCTTCTTATTGAAATATGGAGTCTGAATATACAGAAACAGCAAATCAGTTTTTGGATTGCGTGAATAAACTTAATGTGCATACACTTCTTTACAAAAAGAGAGAAAAAAATCCTCAGTGAGTCGGTTGTCTTCAAGATGCAATCTTATGAACTGCTACTGTGATGGTCCCGTGACTCCTCACCAGAATGTTCCTAAAGAACAAATAAAGATAAAAAAAAAAATGTAGAAACTCTGAGCTGATAAACAAAAACTGTACTGACAAACAGGGATTAGTCAAAGGTGACAAAGTTCAGGAAATGCTCTGTTTTTCTCTATTACATGTTTTCACCTTTGACTGATAAATCTTTTTCAACCTGTCAGTCGTACACTGCTAATCTGATGATCAGTATGAGCAATCAATCAATGATTATTACTCAAAAAAATTTTTTTGTCATCATCATTACCACAAATTTCAGTAAACGAGGTAAACTAGCACAGAAAGAAAGCACCACTTCCTAGATTTCATCACAAAACCACAAATTTGTTCTTATCAAGTGGTTACAAATGATCAAACTCTAGAAATAATCAGAACAAAATAAATAACCACCTTTAAAAAGGAAACAGTTAAAAAACAATAACAACAAAAAACAGGCTCATCCATTGTCTCCATCCTATCACTTTAAAGTCTTAATTTTATTTTTAATAACTTCTCCTTTATGGTCACAAGTATTTTGAGAGCTGATGTTAATGGTGCACCAGAAGGGGGCAGCAGAGCTGCAAAAATAAAGTCTTTTTGTCAAGCCTGTGATCAGTTAGAGAAATTAATCATTTTATTTTGGCCTGTTTTCAGATGTTTTTTGGAGGTACTGAAGATATGTTTAGCCTACTTTAGAGTTCAGAAATGTAGAATTATTGTAGAGACACTAACACTGCCCTCGATGTAATAAAGGCCTGAGTGTGTCATAAACTTAGGAGTAGATTTCTAGGAGACTTTCCTCCACTTGAGCTGTGAAAGTAAGACAAAGAGAAGTTAATGTTGAGTGGAAATTCCCCAGGTGAGACCTGGGTGGCGGTCTCAGTGTTTGTAATATGTTAACTCTGTTTTCTCTGTTGTGTAGAGGAATTTGGTGTAGCTTAGGTGAGGAGATTACTTTTATGACCGGCAGGAAGTCACGTACACAGAGACACACACACACAGTGCTTTGACTGTTATGACGCACCCACACCTACATGCACAGTCACTCACGTGCACTCACATAGACACACAGGTACGCGGGCACACAGGCACTCACATGCTCGTGCATACACACACAGACACAGAGTTTGCAGCACACCATGGTGGTTTTATGATGGAGTCGCTTCTACAAAACTGTGTTTCACAGACAAAGGAGTGAAGATCTGCAGAGGGACACCGGCCTTGCACGTCCTCCCTTCTAGAAGATGCATGCTTAACTGAAGATGAATGAAGATGAATAAAGGTTTTGTGAAAATGACTACTGAGTTCCGGTGCCGTCTCTGGATGCCCGAGGAATAAAAAGAACTGGGGTGAAACTGATTTTGTAACAGTACTCATCTCCCTGCATATTAATCAGTGCAATGCTTGAATTCACTGAGATGGAGAAAAAAAGGAGAGATGAAAGTCAGTCAAACAAAAACCAAAAAGACAAAAGTCGTGTCAGTGCTCACCCCGACTCGGACTCCAGGCATACGGTTGGAGTGTCTGTTGGGTCTTTTGTGAGAGCTGCAGCTTGTTTGGCCAAAACGGACACAACACCGCCATGTTCATCAGACAGGGACCCGCGGCCTGGAAATAAAAGACTTTTTTTTAGAAGAAAAAAAAACACTCAAACCAGTGTTGATTAATTTCCCTTTAAGGTCATCGTGCATCTAACAAACTCATGTTGTCTAGCTTCTAGCTGAGGAGCCAAACCAACATTTTTTGATTTTAACACATTTCTTTGTTGATGAGGAAAACCAGGCTACACCTGAAGGAACAAATCCACGGTTTTGGACAAGCACACTAACTTCACTGCGTTTCCAGGCCTACTCTTAGCAAAAATCCAGAAAGTTTCTGCACCTGGTCAAGAAAACCCTGGAAAACACAATTTGCTGTTTCTGCACTTCAGTTTTGTAAGATGAACAAAAATGAACATTTTACAGCATTATGTGGATAATTAGTTGGATTTGTCTGTAGATTTTGTTACGTTAGGACAGACAGTCTGTATGTAAGTTGAGTGGCTGCTACTTTACTACGCAGACATGAGAGTGCTGTGAATCTACTGAACTAAAATGTAGGAAGAAGTCAAATCAATACGAAAGCTGTCAGAGAGTCAGACAGCAAAATTGTTTGGCCAGTAAGATTTTATTCATAATATTTTAATGAACTTTTTTTGTTTGTTTTGAAGCATATACTTCAAATACACACAACTATCACACAGTGGACATCCCATCGCAGTGAAAAGTGAGCCTGTGAGTAGAGAGTCTACTTGTATTTCAATGATATGAAAGTCTGTTGGTCAAATGTAATAAAATCCGCAAATGCTGATAAAGCAGCACATAATCTGGTGTAAGTGATAACCCTTCCAGCTGAGTTATACCACTATCAATATGCTAATTATGTTTTTGAATGAAAGATACACGACACACAATTTGTTATTAAAGAGCAGCAATTGTTTGTATCAGAGAAAACCTAGTAAAACGTTTACATTTACAGTGGTCCCTCGCTATAAGGCGGTTCACCTTTTGCAGCTTTGCTGTTTCGCAGATTTTTTTTGTGCAATTTTGCATGGTTTTTATTTTATTTATTTATTTTTACAGCGCGTTGTGTTCTGCGTCCTGATTGGCTGTAGACCATTGTCAATCAATCGTTCAGCTTGTCAAATTTACATAAATCTTCAATCGCTAGCAGTGTGACTCTGAAGTGCTGTACTGTATGTTTGTATGTTTTCTCCCCAACAAACACAACAATGTCAACGAAATGTTTTGCACTGTCAAGGGCAACCGCGGGTGCCTTTGGTTTCATTCTATAATACTGGAGATTATTTTTTATAATTATTATAGATGAAGTTGGCTACTTCGCGGATTTAACCTATCGCGTGTTATTTTTAGAACGCAACCCCCATGATAAACGAGGGACCACTGTACATTTGAAAAATACCGTCTGTAACATTTATACCCATGTTTGGATGATTTTTACAGGAACTACATCAAAGTTAATCAAGGGATCACTAAAACATTTATTAATCCTTGATAGAGCAAGCATAGGAGCAGGCTGCTGACTCTCAGTCATGTAAAAAAATAATGTTTTCACGGGACTCGGTGGAGCACACTGCAGCCATCTTGTTCATGATGTTTAACATTTAACACATTTACCATGAGACATCCACTCATGGGAAGATTGTGGCATTGTGTGTTAACACACACCTGAATCCTGCAGACCACCAAATTCCCAAAATTTCAGCTTTCATAATTAATTGTCTTTCATTCTCACTTGACTTATATGCAGAATGAAAATTAATTCTCCATCAACATAGTTAAAGTTTTTTAATTATTGTATTTTATTATTGTATTAGAATAACGTATTAGTAGTGGATGGTTTGAAAACAACTTAGAACTTATTATTCTAAAACTAATGATTGCATTTGACTACAAATACAGTATGTACAATGCTAATACTCAGATCAGTATACAATATAGTTTTACTACAATTTTAAGTTGAGAAGCTTCTATTCTTTTTGAATATTTTTTCCCTTCATAATGATGTAAGTGCGTCTTTCTGTTTCATGCAGTGACAAACGTCACTAACCCATTATGATCAGTGCTTTAGGTAGAAATTTTAGTATGGCCGTTGAGCTTCAACAATTAACAGATTGCAGGTAAAAAAAAAAAAAAAATCCCCACATTTCCAAAGAAATGCCCACAACCTTTTATTATGAAGGAGCTTAACGTGGATTTTTTTAATTAATACTTGTGTTTTTACTTTGTTTATTTGAATTATTCTTTTGCTCTTGAATCTGTTTTTTATTGTCTTATGTATTACTTTAAATGCTTATTTGTGGACCAGTATTGATCAATAAGAACTTAATGTTTTCGTGAAAACAACACCACTCGGTACTCTCTCTCCCATCCAAAGCGTAATGACTTATGGCTAAATAACCCATAACTTTGAGCATCTGAGCAGTGACACCTGTTCACTTTGACAAGTAAAAGGCCAGTTAACGTGAACTAGTTTGGGATTTCCTCACTTACAGCCCAGGTTGTGTCCTTGTTGATCCGTGCAGAGCACACCAACCACTGCTGGATTCTTCATGCTGCCACAAACAAACACACAGAAGGAGCGAAAGTCGCTTTAAAGGTCACAAAAACGTAAAACATATACTCAGTGCTAGAGTGGTTTTAACTTACGTATCATCGAGATGCTGTTCGAGGGTCGACTCCATTGTTATCAATCGGGAATAACTTAAATCGAAGTTTGCTCAATGAAGCTGTATTTTTGTTGTTGTCTGCTACCTCAACGTTTCCGGGTAGAGTCAGCTGACTGTCACATGAACTAAGGGTCCATATGAGGACCAAAATATGCCAAGCGCGGAAATATACAATATATGTAGGACCAAGTGAGTCATGCGCATTGAAATAAAGCGTTTCGTGATTTAATGATGAATGATGCATTAAAATACATTCCCTCATTCATTCATTTATTGGACATTCAGGCATTAATAAAGTCAATAATTATTTGATAATTCAATCGAAAGTAAAAGGACTAATCATAAATAAATATTTCTAAATGAACTATAAATCAATTAATTTAATAAATATTTAAAATAAAATGGCATTAAACTAACAAATAAAAACTTAATAAAAAAAAATTAATGCCAAATTTAAAAACTATTTTTTCAAAACCCTTTAGAAAAAATGCAATTTTTAAAAGAGACATCACTAAATGGATTTAAAAAATCAATTACAAATACAAATTTATTTCTGACATTTAAAATGATGATTCCCACCCCCCAGTTTAAAATCTATTGCCTGCTTGCATTCGCCTTTTCTGTTTTCTTTGGGGTTAACTTCCATATTGTCTAATTCATAATATATTGGCCGTTCTTACGTTCATATAAAGCACAGAGTTTGTGACTAGATAGATCAATATTTGCTAATACATTTTTGTAACTTCCATATTTACACCCTAGAGAATTAATTGTGCAGGAAAATCCCCGTAGATCAGTAGTTTCTGAAAAACTCAGAACAGCTCACCTTTGTTCTCCATTCTGATACTCAGTTTGAATTTTAAAATGTCATCTCGACTGTCTCAATGCCTAAATAAAGAGTCATCAAACTTGCATATTTAATGAAGTGGCCAGTGAGTGTATGTCACAGTTTTGTGTGCAATGAAGCCAGAATGCAGGACACAACACAGAGGAGTCAATAGAAAGCTGATAATAAGTCCAAAAGCACAAAGTACAAAGAATACAAGGAGACCTGAAGACAACAAAAGCACATGCACAGGGAACAAAACACCAACATGACAAAGATGAAAGTAATCAAGACAATTCAACAGACAGAAAATACGATTCAAAAACAGGAAATCAGAGAGAAATAAATCACACTAAAGCAGGAAACAATCCAAAAGCTACAAATAAACACAGAGACAGGAAAGCTCATATTAAAAATGAAGGGAATGCTGGAGAAGGGAACACTGGAGGACACAGAAAGATAAGATGAAGGGAATAACAGAGGCAAGCACAGAAGGAACTTAACGCATGAGAAATAACTCAAACTAGGAACTGAAGCTAAATAAAGATCATGGATCCAAAACAAGCAGTAGGTTTGTTACCCATCTGAAAAGGCATCCAACACCATGAAAACTAAACAGTAGCCAGAACTAAAAAAATTAAAAAAAACCAAAACAACAACTTTGCATAACATGAATAAACAAACAAACAAACAAAAACCCAAATAGACTCAAATATAAAAAGGAAAAATTCAAAACCCAAACACTGAACAAAAAACAAACAGTGGACAAAACACAGGACCGTAACATTTACATCATGATGAGATTTCATATTCCCCACTCTGCGAAAAGTGTTTGATTCATGAGTATAATATTCAGTACAGTTTTCCGTGTCCCGAGGTCCTCATTCACTGAAGTAACTGTCTACACTAGATAGGTTATGTAATGAAACCTTGCTCCTCTATATTTCATCATTGATCTGTTACTCTCTTCATACCCACCTCCACTAGAAATTGATTTTGGTATTCAGAGGTGTATAAATATAAAATCAGATTAGTTTAGTTTTTCTTCTGAATATATTTATTGATTATTCACTTCCCAATGTATTCCTATGGAGCAGTCACTCGACACCCACAAATAAGCTGAGGTTGCCTAAAAAAACAACTCCAATGTCGAAGGTGCTCCTCGGTACTGAGAAGCAAAATCACCCCTTCAAACACAATCTTCTCCACCATCCATGTAACATAACAGAATGACTCAGCATAATAAATACAAGGACGGTAACAATGGCTTTTATTGCATGTAAAATATAGCAATAATACTTTGGGTTTAAAACAGAAATCTTGTTTCTTGTACCCTCTTGATGGCAGATTTTGTTAATGCAATTTCTTTAGAAGTTAGTGTGAGGCCTCTGGGCACACCTCCACATGATTTCTGCTGCCTGTCCCAGGATGGCTTGGCTTCAGTGCTCCTGCTGACAGGGCAAAAATGGGTGAATGTAATTATATGGCCACTGCATTGGAGGAATCCATCACCTGTGCAGCAGCAGGGTAATGTCCTGCTGAGTAACCCAAGGGGTGCTCTCCCCCTCCCTCCTTCCCTCTAATTTTTTTCTGTCTTTGGCTCTCGTCTTCTCTCGCTCATATTTCTCTTTTCGCAACTTAAATCACAGTCTGCCCGTTTTCTCTGACAACCAGCTGCTCATCACTGTCCAAGCAGTCACGTACTCACAGACGCATGTAAAAGTATAAGTCTGTGCATAAGGAACAATTTTCAGCCTTCTTTTTATGCCATACATGCATGCTCATGTATCACGTACACATCACATACACACAGTAACTCCTGCTATCTTCATGAGGACAGCCAATAAAATACTAAATCCATAAGCCCATTGCTGTAACCTTAGCCGTCACAGCAAAGCCAGTCACTAACCTTACTGAATTCTCAATGAAACCCTAAATCTAAGTCTTTTCCCTAATTTCAAATTAAAATTTGTCCTCCAAAGATAGTAGAATAGGCCTGCACACACACACACACACACACACACACACACACACACACACACACACACACACACACACAGGAAATCTTTAATCTTGTACAACCAGAGGTTGGTATAAATCCAGTTATTCGTGACCTATACATTAGAGCTGCAGTAAATCTGCAAATGAGCTGGATCTGAAATAGAGACCTGACTCAGAGTCGATGTATCACTGCGATCCTCACTACCATAATTCAGAGACATTAAGACTCATTATTCCTATTCTCATATCACTTTAGTGGCACTGTAGCTTCGACGTCTCAGTGAGGAGTGGTGCAAGGTTTTAATCATTCATTTAAACCTCTTTAAAACACATAGCATCATGACACACACCATACAGCAGGGGTCGGCAACCCTAGGCACGCGTGCCACAGTTGGCACGCGAAAGGGTTAACTGATGGCACGAGTATTCTCATTGTGCTGACTTTTTACAATCAGTTACAGTAACTCGTACTGCGTACTAGCTAGCATGATGGAGTTTCTATACAGCTGGGTGGTGCTATGATGTTACTGATAGTGAACTTTATTTTATTCATAAGGTCAGCCAGTAGAGTTGCCAACTGTCCAGTAAAAAGACGAATCGTCCGTATTCAGAGAAATTATTACGTGTTTCGTGTTGAGCTGAGAAGGGACGCAGTTTGTCCCGGACTTCAGCTACAATGAAAAAGACACAAAGCTGGAGTTATTCTGTGTCTTTACGCTGCAGCTGCCTCTTCTTCTCTCATTCTCTCTCTCTCCTGTTGCTACTTCAATTATGAAACTGATCAATGATCAGCTGATCAGCTTTTGTCTCTCGTTTGTTTATCGCCCACTTTGGGCCAGAAAGAGGAAACCAGCGGATGTCGCGCTAAACAACAGCAGCATGTTTAAGCTTGATCAGCTGTTGTTAGAATTTATTTAATATTACTTTCTAGTATCAGCTGATGTTTGCTGGAGCCACAGCTGTAAAGCTGCTGGTCATGATGTCGGTTTGGTTATCTGGTGAGAGGGAAACATGAAGATGAAACCAGGAGATGTCCTTACTGAATCATCAGGGCTGTGATGGAGAAACAGGTTTACCTTTTAGGTGACATGAATAAGTTGAAGGGAAGTTATGAACTGTTTCTGAGAGACAAATAACACCAGGATCCTTTTTTTACTTAGCTGACAGCTGGTAACTGTGCAGGGGCGGGTCTAGCAAAGTTTTGCCAGGGGGCCAGGTAGGGCATTAACAGGGAAAGGGGGGCACAAAGAAATACTTTTCTTTCTTATTCTCATTTAAAATGTCTGGCTGTTATTAAATAATTATCTGAATCTTACAACCAAAGTTTTTATCTGACGTAAAATGTATAGAAATCATACATATACCAACAAGACTGTACATCACTGTCACAACAGCGTTTGTTTTCATTCAAAGGCTTTATGGCTTTAATACCTGGTGGGCCGGTCTCTAGTCAAAATGCCCGGGACGATTTTTGTCCCAGTCCAGCCCTGGGCACGACACGCAGTGAATTAATCTGAGAAGGTGCATTAAAAAATAAATGGCCGCGTCAGCGGTGCACATCGCAAATTAGCTCTCATAGACACATTAGTTGTGCTGCTTCTTCATGACGGTATCTTAGCTAACAACCCCAACTACCAGATTCAACTTGTAATTGGCTAAAAATAACTTAGCCTACTGGTGAGAGGGACGTTGTTAGCTTTCCATATTCCGACATTTCAAAAGCTTCAGGAGCTGTCCGCTCAGCACAGCATCAACACCACGGAAATACACGGATACATCCGTAGGCTTGAGACACAAGGCGGTTTTGGGACTTTCAGGTGTATGGACCAATTTTTTTTTTCTGATCAAACCAGAAATCTTTAATGAGCAGCTGGATTTGTCTCACATTAACTGGCTGAGTTAATGCCAGTTAATGCAACATTGAAGCAGCTGGAATCCACAGCTGTGCGTGTTCATGGAGCTGCCTTTTCACCTGCTGGACATCACTACCTGACAAGTTTAACTGTCTTCATAACATTGCAGAGGCCTTATTGACAGTATTTGACTCTACATATCTGTGTGAGCGGATTTTCTCTCACATGAGTCCTCAGGCAGCTGTCTGAATGCTGGACACTCGGAGACCTGTGTCTCTGAGTGGGAGACCAGAGATCACATTTTCCCTGTATTAACAGACATGCCATATTGGCCCAGTTTATTGTTCTTATCATTGTTGTGAGGAGACCATAAATAGCATTTGTATTTATGTTGTACAGCTCATTTTCTGTTATGGATAAAAAGTCTTTTTTTGTTTCAAAATAGCTGATAACTATTCACTGATAGCTGCCAACATCTGCGAACAAATATAATTCTATAAAGTGGTTCTATATAGTGTGTAACTGTTCATATAGAGCGTTATTAAATTTATTGCTAATGCAATCATATGGCACACTGACTTCTGAGGAAATTTTAAATGGCACTCGTCATCAGAAAGGTTGCCTACCCCTGCCATACAGTAATGTGATAAATAAGAAATATTGCGTTCTTGTTTCTGTTTTACCAGAAGACCAACCCACAAGTCAGTAATGTGGTAATGTCAGTAAACTCATTAGATGGCTTTGATTTTTATTTGTTTTGTCTTGATCACTTCTGATTGACAAATAGCTCAGGACTTGTGCCCTTTCTTCCACAGACATGTCAGATTTATTTTAGTTTGTCAACTCCTGAATTGGTTCTTTTGTTTTTGCTAGCTTGGTGGAAACTCTTACAGCTCCGGTCCAGAGACGATGTAGTCGAACCCTAAAGTGAGTCTTCGTAAGCCATCATCTGGATAGGTGAGATGACAGAGCTTCTGAGTGGACAGGCAGAAGGGGTGTAAGGGGGATTTTTCTGGCATGAGGAGGGAGGAAAGAAGAGAGGGAGGGGAGAGTGTTGGGTGGGGGGGTCACAGGTGGATAAAGAGAAGGAGAAAGGGAGGCTGCCTTCTCTAAGGAGTTGAGTAAACGTTGAGGAGTGGCTGAAGAGTCGGGGAACCAGCTTGACGTGCCACAGAGACAGTTCACAGTTGTTGTGTGGTGCTGGGGGTGCTGAGAGAGTCCAGTTCTCTTGTTGCTGTCATGGGTTTCAGGGAGGTGCTGCTGTCCTTCCTCCTGTTGTCTGTTGGGAGCTGGTGCAGAGGAGCTGTTATCACAGGGGTAAGATGGAAATTTCTAATGGAGCAACTCAATGTTAAGGTTTTTGATTTATCAGACTATCAGACTGTGTGTTGTCATATTGAAAGTGCATTTTACATTGTGTCTATCATAACTGTAACTGTTGCTTCAGTTCAGTGCCCCATTCCACTTGGGGCACTAGTATATTCAAATAATTTTTTAAAAAATCAAGAAAAATATTTAAAATGTCTGTTTCTATCATTATATTTTCATCATCACAAAATCATTTTATATTTATATTTATATGTATATATATATATATACATTTTTAGTTTTATTTTAAATTATTTTAACTTACATTTTTGTGTGTGGATGAAAACTGAACACATCCCTTCTCTGGATAATATTGTTAAATTTCATTACAAATGACTAATGACAGATCATATCCTCCCCCGCTTGAAGTTAACTGGAAAAATCAGAGGAAATTATCTCAGCCCCCTGAATGCTATTCATTTGTAAATGGGTTAGGGAGAGGACAGGGAATAAATCAAATGGATTTCACTCGCCAAACATGGGAGGGTATCTCTATTACAATAAGTAAAAGTTATATATATGAAAAGATAAACTCTATATCTATTACCATATATGAAGATGAAACAGATTTACTGGCAACAATAGAATTGCTTTTATTACTTTTTGTCTAGACCTCTGCCACCTTGTCTTTCTATCTTTCCTGCAGGCTTGTGAGAGAGATGTGCAGTGTGGTTTTGGCCTTTGCTGTGCTGTCAGTCTATGGCTGAGGGGTCTGAGGATGTGTGTCCCAAGAGGTGTGGAAGGGGATGAGTGCCACCCCTTTAGCCACAAGGTGGGGATAAATGTGATGTCAGTTATAATAATCTTCCAGTGTTACACACACATACGCGCACATAGGCACACACACGTTTATCCTTCTTTCCTGTTTTAAGAAATTCTGATTGCTGTCAAGCTGGCTGAAGCCTTAGAAAAGCTGCTGATAAGTGCAGGGGGTATTGATTCTACTCAGCAGATCTGAGCCATATATCTCTTTGATTATCTGGAACAGGCGACGATTACTTCTACTAACACCACATCCATCTCTGAAACTCAGACCGATTAAGAGAAGCTTTAGGGCCTGCAGTTCCAGTTGTCAGCTCATAAAGGATTTAAGCTGTCAGATTAGCCCAAAGCTACATTCCCTTTCCCCTTTTTCACGCTTCCAGGTACCCTATCCAGGGAAAAGGCAACATCACACCTGCCCCTGTCTCCCCCACTTGGTGTGCACCAGGTATGCTGACAGCAAGTACAGGTGTACTGAGGACTTCAAAAACATGGACTTTTAACGGACGAGAGAACACCCAGAATGATGCAAGCACAACAGCAAACAGAGTGGAAATCCGAACGGCCTGCGGATCAAAATCTTCTTCAGTGACTTTATTCTTCATTTGTGTACGCTATGCACTAAAATGTATGGGTTCTACTGATGCACACAACAAGCACATAAAAAGAAACAGGGAAGTGTAACCAACAAGATCTACAATAAACATGAGACAGCTTTAATTTAACAAGCCAAATGTTACCCCGAGAGTTATTTGCGAGCCTTTAGCACATCTGCTGTTTCTTTCATGCTCATTTTATATTAATTCATCATGAGACGTGTTCGAGTATTACTGTCAATAAACATATACATAAAGTTGTGTTTTATAGAGGGCTCAGTTAATATTGTTACATAAAACATTATGTTCTGTATGGAATGGAAATGTCAACTGGTTTTAATCACAGTGTGATAACGGTCATAAACAGAATCTTAGTGCAAATACTTTCACACGCAAACTGACCTTGTATAATATATTTGATTAGTGCATACGTGAGTCAAGGTGAAATTCCCTCATGTTAAATCGTTAGTAGTTCTTTGTTTCTTCTGTCTTAAATTGAAATGTACCGTGTCCAGTGTGAAATCATGACTTGACACGTGGACTTCAAAAGCTTTAACTAATAAAAAATTAATAACAGGAAAACATTAAGGGAAAAAGTAGTATAGATCACCAGAGATGTTATGAACTGGGAGTATTACCCTGCAGCTGTGAGGTACTTGTGCTGTCCTTTACTTACTCTACTTGTTCTTTATATTTATACTGCACTGCATCTGTGTAAAATATTGTCCTTTGTACTTATATTTATTTGACATCTGCAGTAACTACTTACTTTTTAGGTCGAGTTACCACATAGAAAACATTTATAATGCTCATCAAATACAGCTCGCCGTTACAGTATATAAAGAGCTGCAGCCTTAGCTACAGCATAAAACACCGCTTATACATAAATGCACAGCAAATAATAATAAACCAGAATAAATTCAAAGACTAGCCACTTACATCATTTGTTTAATGTAGGATTACATTTTGATAACTGTAATTGAGTATGTTTTGATTGGAGTACTATAATTGCTACTTCTATTGGGTGTGAATACTTTATGCTACCAATTTGTTAAATGTTACTGCAGCGTAGTACAGAAAAACAGCTATTGTTTTTCAGTGAACTTATGAAAATTTTAGAAAAAGTGTTTGTCTAAATCTTAAACCTAACCCTAATTTCAGTTTATTAAGTCAAAATTTTGAGATAATAATGAGAAATTTTGACTTATGGATGGCAAAATAAGCAAATAAACACAGTGGTGGAAACAAGTTTCTGTAATTTACGGCTCACACTTTCACATGATTACATCTTTGCTTGTCCTACCTTTGTTTTATTGTTATCAGATAAACCTTTCCAAGTAATTCAAGCTCACATCTTTGGAAACCTTGAGGAAAGTTTGCATACTGGTATTAAGTAGAAGGTCTGGACATCATATCTCCTGAACTGCACACCAACACATTGGTGTACCTGTTTAACACTTACAGTGTATTTAAATGATGTGACGAATAATAAAGTCAATCCTTTGGAAGTTAGTTGTCATTTTCAGTAGATACCCTGTAAATACAAGTTTGACTTTTAGAGTTGCAACTTTTAAGTTCATACAAAACATTTTTTTTTACAATCTTCCTAAACACTTTCAGTGTTCACAAGCTTAATGGGATATTTGTCCCCAGATAAGAGTCTGTTTTCTAAATCATATGCTTCTTATCACCATCTTTCATATCAGCTTATAGGAAAGGGCATTTCGGAAAAACAACCTTGATTAGTTGTATATAAGGGCTGGCCTCAGCAACTGGACGTTCACTCATCTGAGTCTACCTGTAGAGACAGCAACATGATGAAGTGGCTGGTCGTTTTGGCTGCCCTCGTGGCTTTCGCTGAATGTCTCCATAAGTAAGTCTGACTTGGTTGGTTGTTTCTTTATTTGTTTTATGTATTTGACATTAAATACATAAAAAATTGTGAAACTCTCCGTGTTCCTATGAGGAGATCTAAAGGTCCTCCTGCTCACCTGAATATCGCACAGACATTTCTCCAGCTGTAAAATTCCGGCCTGCCTTGCTCATTGCATGATTTTCTGCTCACGTTGCTACATGTAGGATGCCCCTGATTAAGGGAAAATCTGCCAGGCAAACCCTCAAAGAGAAAGGGTTGTGGGAGGAGTACAGGAAGAGTCACCCATACAACCCAGCAGCCAAGTTCTACAGCAGTGGCACCGAGTCCATGACCAATGACGCTGACGTAAGCCCAGATTAGTAAAAAGCTTTAGATTTTGTTCATGTCGTTGAAAACATACCTTGCTTTACTTTTTCAAAATTGTCTTTTTAAATCTGAATCTGCATCTGTGTACTTGTTCCTTCTTTATCTGTCCCTCTAGTTGTCCTACTATGGTACGATCTCCATTGGAACCCCTCCTCAGTCCTTCTCTGTCATTTTTGACACCGGCTCCTCCAACTTGTGGGTCCCTTCAGTGTATTGCAACAGTTCAGCCTGTGGTGAGTGCCACTATGATGACTACCGAAGCAACATGGTACAACCTGGCCAGTATGGTTGGAACATACAGAAATGTGTACTTCTGCTATTAGATACTGTTCAAAAATATCCCTTTTTCATTTTAGGCTCTTTTTCATTCATGAATTTTATCCATAATGTAACTTTTTTCCAGCAGAAAATATGCTCTTAACTTGTGAGGCAAAATCAATATACAAGCCTAGATGAACTTGACTACTAGCAACACTGGAATCCTTCGAGCATTAGTAGAAGTCATTTAGTAATAATAACAGAGCAGCACAGTTTGATTATCACAGTGACTTGAGATTTCTGCAGTATTTGCACGTGCAACTCTGATTCTCCACATAATGAATTGGTTTACTTTGGTAGCACATTCTTTCTAGCTTGTTCTAGTTGTAACTTTACCAGCAGAACAACACTCATTGCCATCACTGAAATGCTAGACATCCAAGTTGTATAAAATTGCAAAACTTAAAAATGCATTCCTCTGCAGAGAACCACAATCAATTCAACCCATCACAGTCATCCACCTTCCAGTGGGGTGACCAGTCTCTGTCCATCCAGTACGGGACTGGCAGCATGACTGGGTTACTGGGCAGCGACACTGTTGAGGTAACCAAAACCCGTGGAACAAAAAACTTAGTCTATTTAGACTTCAGATGGGCATCTCTCTGTGGTTTGCTGAACTGTGACAGCTGTTTTGCATGTCCAGGTGGGCGGCATCTCTGTGGCCAAGCAGGTGTTTGGATTGAGTGAGACAGAGGCTTCTTTCATGACTTACATGCAGGCTGATGGGATCTTAGGACTGGCCTTCCAGAGCATCGCCTCTGACAATGTTGTACCAGTTTTTAACAACATGATCACTCAGGGGCTGGTGTCAGAGCCCATTTTCTCAGTCTACCTGAGCGGGTACTGAAATGAAATGGAATTCAGTTGGCTGGAAAATCTTTATTGGGTTTTTCTTTTTGAGTATATTTTGTGAATTTATGATGTGACTCTCTCTCTCTGTGTGTGTGTGTGTGTGTGTGTGTGTGTGTAATATCTTAGCAATAGTGAACAGGGCAGCGAGGTGGTCTTTGGTGGTACTGACAGCACCCACTACACTGGAACAATCACCTGGATCCCTCTGTCTTCTGCCACCTACTGGCAGATCAACATGGACAGGTGCCAATAAGTCATCCAAAAGCTGTTTTCTTCATAGCCAACATCTTTGCTTACAGCTTCATATCAGACACAAAAAATCACAAGGTTATAAAACTTCTTGGCTTGACTGTAATTCAACTTTCCACTTCACAGTGTTACCATCAACGGGCAGACTGTAGCCTGCTCTGGTGGGTGCCAGGCCATCATCGACACTGGCACCTCCCAGATTGTTGGTCCAACCACTGACATCAACAATCTGAATAGCTGGGTTGGAGCCTCAACCGACCAGTCAGGAGATGTGAGTCATACCATCGTGACACAAATTTTCCCCTTTTTCTGAACCCAGAGTAAACAGACATTTAAGACCCTGACGTCAGAACTTTGAAATAAAAATAATTAAGTGGGATTCGGATAGCTGCTTCAGTTGGAAAACTGTAAAATACCAATAAACAGATTTTCTTCTGCCTCATGGCCTCTGACTTTGTTCTGCTGACAGGCTATAGTGAACTGCCAGAACATCCCGAGCATGCCCGATGTCACCTTCACTCTCAATGGAAACGCCTTCACAGTCCCTGCATCTGCCTATGTTTCTCAGGTCAGTAAGACCATCCTGCCAACCACAGCACCAAATAATACAATACAATAATGAAGATTTGAAGAAATATATCTTTTCTTTCTCCCCTGTCCACAGAGCTCCTCTGGTTGTATGACTGGCTTTGGTCAGGGTGGCACCATGCAGCTCTGGATCTTGGGAGATGTTTTCATCCGGGAATACTATGCCGTCTTTAATGCCCAGTCCCAGAACATTGGTCTGGCCAAGTCAGCGTAATGACATCAGTAATCTCATAAATACTCCAAGCATGTATTTTAATGGAATGGGAGAGTTTATGCAAACAGGAGTTTGTGGAAAACGTGCATGTGAACATGTTGTAGCTGCCTTTACATTAAACAGATTATAGCAACAGCATTTCTCTCTGTGTGTGTGTGTATCTGTGTCGACTGAACTTGCATGGCTATCTACTATTATCGCACATCAGTAGAATAAAGTGTTTCTGTGTTGTGCTGAAATGTCACAGGAACAAGAATCAGTCCAGTGTGTTCTTTTATACACTCGACCTTTTACAAAGGATCTGAAAGTTTTCACTTTTTTATGGTAAGGACAACAGGCTAAGAAAAAAAATGACCCAACAGCTCTCAGAAGAAAAAAGGGCAGGTTGCCACTGACATCGAAGAAGCTGATAAGGACAAGCATTGATAGAACAGATGATAACCTGATGACATGATTTCACAACTCTGCTGCTATCTCAACCTGTGAACATGAGAATGGGGAAGTCTCAAACACAGACAAAGCACACATTTACTGCAGAGACAGAGTTAACTGTTTTAATTTCATTTCTTATGCTGTCAACATTTCTCCATTAATAGTTCATTATTATAAACATCATCAGATATCAGATTTTACAGTCCATTCAAGGTTTGGGATACAAAATAATCAAAACAAAGTAGAAGTGATCAGTCTCTGCTTGATCATTAAACATCTTTTAGTATTTAAGCAGTTAACTGACATATACATAAAAACTTTCCAACAAAACACTGACAAAAGAATTAAAGTGGATCAGACATTAAAATCTGTAACTCAAATTCACGGTTGGATTGCCAGTATGGAGTATTCCACCATCCCAGCATGCTCTTCGTCGGCAGCTCCTGTTGGTGCGTTGTGCATCCTCACATTTGCATACACTTCTTCGGGCTTCTGCAGAGCCCTGAAGTCCACCATTGTGTAGACTATGCCGCTCGTTTCCTAGTAGAGACACATTTTGCCAAGAGACAGTATTTTAGAGGAAGTTTAAAGTATAAACATGTCTCCAATTTAACATGATAGTGAGTCACAGCGACTGCTTGTTCCCTGTTTAGCACGTACCGAAGCTTCTTGGTTCAGTGAGTCACAGTGAGTTTGTCCATATTTGTCTACAAAGAAAAACAACAGAACTTCACATCATTTACCCATTCTATAAGAGGAAAAAAAGAATATATTTTATCATAAACTTTGGCAGACAGTCTGAGCTCTGCGACAGCAGTTTTCAGGGAACTGCTTACCTAGCGGTTTGGATTTTGTCCTGACTCTGCAGCAAACAACACCAATCACTGAACTGATGAACATCATCACTGTAATTGCCACAATGACAGCCAGTGGCAAACTAAAACTCCAGGAGACTCTGAAGAGGAGCAGAGCACAAAAATGAAAAAACTATTCATGTTTCAGACACAGGAACAATTTGACTAGTGAGCAACAACAAAAACGAGCAATGTGCAGAGTGACCACCTGTTGCTGTCACCGTGGTCCTCTGCTAAAGCAGGTCTAGTGGACTCTGCGAGTGCTGTGGATGTGCCGGGGGCTTTGGTGGTCCCTGTGATTGGAGGCTGTGAATGGCTGAAGTGATCTGAAACTTCTGCAAATTTCAGATATAACAAAGTCAAATAAAAATCATGCTTAAATACAGCTAATAAACAATGACAGTAACAACTGTTGCATGAAATGCATTTAGAGCATCCTGTCAAAAGTTTTATAAGAATACTCACCAGACACTTCTATATAATAGTCCCTGTAGATGTGATTTGGGGCTCCCAGCACGACACACCTGTAAAAGCCTCCATCTACAAATTGCACATTTGCTATTCTAAATTCAATCCAGCCATCATTTTCTATTTTGGTCACTCTTCCTTTCAAAAGTTCACAGGTATATCCTGAACTGTCCATCAGCCTGTAGCAGCCTCCCGGATACAGTTTACAGCAAGCCTTGTTGTAACTGTTGTAAAATGAAGGAAAGGAGAGTCTCAGGAAAATGTGCTCGAACTCTTTAATCCTCTCCTGGCCTTTTAGATGACAGATATCTGGAAAACAAACAGCTGTCAATACAACTTCTCAAATACTGGAAAAAGTGGAATAGCCTTTTTTTTCATACCTATTAAAAGAATAAAAACAATGGAAAACTTCATCTTCATTGTGATGCTCGCTAATTCTCAGCACTTTGGGACAGTTTTAGTTTTGAATTCTTGCTGCAGGATTGAAGGCTCCTCCTAAAGAGGAAAGAAGAGGAAGTTGTCAAAGACGTGCTCCTCACGAGGCTTTGGGAACTGTTGCTGGACACATCTGTGGCACAACAGTTCTGTGGCTGATTCTTTTTTTGACTGTGTTATGTGTCTGCATATTGGAAATGGACACAAATGGAAATGGACAATGGAGAGTCAATATCACTGGAAAAGAAATATGAAAATGCTTTGACCTCATATCCAACAGCGAACATTTGTCTCATAGTTTTGCATTTACACAAGAATGTGATCGCTTTAGCAGCTCATTAAGTTGCATGACTAAAATCTTGCAAAACACAAAATGTACTATTGCTTTTTTATATGGTTACAATAATAAAATAAAACCAACTACATGAAACATATGCTGGTAGCTTTATTTTATTTTACTGCACAGACAAAGACACAAGGAGATTAACCGAACTGGTTCACTTCTGATGCAACATTTGTGTTTATTACATCGTGTGTGTGTGTGTGTGTGTGTGTGTGTGTGTGTGTGTGTGTGTGTGTG